TGGTGGCTGGGGATAGGAGAGAGTCAAGGAGAAGCTGAGTCACCTTTCATGGCCAAGGCTCAGAAGTCATGTAGCATCACTCCTATAAGTGTGCCAGTCACTAGACTTGAGTCACCAAGGCCAGTCCATATTCCAGGGAGGGGAATTAGACTTCACCCCTTGATGGGAGGAGTGTCAAAGACTTTGTGAACATGTTTTAAAACCACCTTATGGGGCGTCTGGGTGGCTCAGTTGGTTAAGCGTCTGCCTTCAGCTCAGGTAATGATCTCAGGGGCCTGGGATCAAACCCTGAGTCGGGCTTCTTGCTCAGCAGGGAGTCTGCTTCTCTCTCTCCCTCTGCCCTTCCACCCCCTCCCCGCCTTGCTGGTGCTTGCTCTCTCTCTCAAATAAATAAATAAAATCTTTAAAAAATTTTTAAAAAATAAAACCACCTTAGCAAATGATACCTCTGGTGGTACTTCCTCTGACACCTCCCTCTTTCTTGCCCCTCCTCCCCCATCCAGCCAGTCACCAAGGCTTATAAATTCTACCACCAACAAATATCTTCAAATCTTTTCATTCTCTCATCTCACACCTGGAGCCCTGCATCTTCCTGACTTTCCCGCCTCCACTCTTTCTTCCCGTGATATTTAGGATTAGGTTCATTTGCATATGACAAAAAATCCAAATAACAGTGGCTTAAACAAAATCAAAATATTCTTCTCTTTTACATAAAAGAAACTAATACATAGCTATCCAGGGCTGATGTAGTGGCTCTGTGATTCTCAGGGATCTGGGCTACTTTCATTTTGCTCCTCTACAAAGCCCTGATCCAGAATGGCTGCCTAAGCACCAGCCATCACTTCCACATTCCAGCCAGGGGAAAAAAAAAAAGAATGAAGAAGGATACACCCTCTCCCTTAAAAGATCTTTCCCAGAAATTTCTACTTATATTTCATTGACCAGTACCTAGTCACACTACCACACCTAGCTGCAAAAGAAGGTGAGAATGTAATCTTTATTCTGGGCAGCCGTATGCCTCACTAACATCCAGGAGTCCATAAATAGCAGTCTTGGACACCTCTGAATCCACACTTCATGCTACACCCAGAATCTTTTCCCTAAAATGCATATCTGAGTATATCCCTCCCCTGCTCAAGGCCTTCAGTGGCTCCCCATCGCTTCTGGATAAAATTAAAATTCCTTAAAATAACTCCAATGTTCCTGCTATCTGGGCTTCTTTTCTGTCAACCGTTACTAGCAATACTTCACCTTCAAAGATACTATCCTACTTGCAGTCCAGCATATTCTTTCTTATCTCAAGGTTAATGCAAGGTGTTCCCTCTGCATAGAATCCTCTCCCACCCTCTCTACAGGTTCACTCTATCCACACTTCAGGCCTCAGCCTGGACGTCACTGTCCTCCAAGAAGATTCGGAGGGGCCCATGGACATGTTTTCATTTCTTTTAGAATCAGAAGGAAAAAATGAACTCTTAGGTCCAAGGAAATGTTTGAATTCATCAATATTAATAGTACCTCCCTCACTAGGGTCTTGTAAGGAGTAAATGAAAGAATACACTACATGTGAGGGGCTTAGAACATCCTGTCGTATAGAAAGCTCTCAATAATGATCACCTATTATTATTGCTGTCATTATGGCCAATTAGTGTCCTACCTCTCCCAGAGGTTTTTTCACTTGAGAGTTGGCTCTCGCAGGAGAGAAGAGATTACTTACCTCCCCCAGTCCCCAGTGATTATCTGTAATGGTGGAATTTCAGGCTGCCTTGGAAAGACTATCAGAAGCAAAGAGATGGGGGTGCCTGGGTGGCTCAGTCAGTTAAGCGTCTGCCTTCAGCTTGGGTCGTGATCCCGGGGTCCTTGGATCAAGCCCGCATGGGGTTCCCTGCCAGAGGGGAGTCCCTCTCCCTCTGCTGCTCCCCCTGCTTGTGCTGTCTCTCTCTCTCTCTCTGTCAAATAAATAAATAAAATCTTTAAAAAGAAAAGAGAAAAAAGAAAAGCAAAGAGATGTTCTCCAAGCTTCAGATCATCTTCTCTGGTCCCCACCTGGGTAGCTTATGGGGCCGGGGGGGCGGGGTTGGGGCAGGTCCTATTACAGGGGAAACTGCATGGACATTGGAGTCGAAACAACTGGGTCCTATCTTAGCTCGGGCTACTCTAACAGAGTACCATAGACTAGGTGGGTTAAAGAACAGAAGACTATTTCTCACACTTCCGGAGGCTGGGAAGTTCAAGATCAAGGTGCCAGCCAATTGGCTCCCAGGGGAAGCTCTCTTCTGGGTTTGCAGACAGCTGCCTTCTCATTGTATCCTCACATGGTGCTCTCACGGCTCTTCTTAAAAGGGCACTAATCCCATCAGGAGGGATCTGCCCTCCTGGCCTAGTTAATTCCCAAAGGCCCCACCTCCTGATGCCATTGCACTGGGGATTAGGGTTTCAATATATGAATTGCGTTGGAGGGGGTGAGGTGTTGAGGAGGGGCAGGGGAACAAACATGCGGTCCACACCAGGTTCAAATCCTGAATCCACCCCTTACCTACAATCGGCAGACTTCCAATTCCTCGGTTGCAAAAGGAGGCTCATAATGGCACCTGCCTCGTGGGTTCCTGGGAGGATTAAATGAGAAATCACATGGGAAATCCGCAGCCCGCTGCATGGCATGTAGTGGGTTTGTCCCCTCTCCTCCCATCTATACACGTTCCCGAAGGCTGGAGTGCACATGAATTGGACACTCACAGACTCAGAGGTGCCAACATGGAATGTTCTTTAATTTTCTCTCCCTGAGCTCAACTCCTGTGCTCTCACCGCCCCCCGCCCCCCCTGCCGCCAGGCAGTAGGAAGTGGCATCTAAACACTGTCGGGTAACCCCGGTCACATTTCATCATGCCCAGTCACTTCAGGATTTGGACCAGCCCCCTCCGTCCCTGGGGAGCCCAGGGGTTCACTGGGTACCCAGATCATGGTAGTTCAACAAGCATCCACTCTGGCTTCTACCAGTCGGTTCCGGTCCTTGTCTGGGAGCAGAAGCCACAGTCCAGCTGGGACCCTGTGGTAGAGTGAGCAAGCAACTGTCTCGGGTTCCCAGTTTTAGCTCTGAAAGCTCCACGTTCCAGGAAACCCTCAGTCCCAAGCAGACAGGGATGGTTGAGCATCCTACCCTGGGAGCCTGCCCATGCCCTCATCAACCTCCAAGACTCTCAAGACTTCTCCCGGCTCCCAGTGGTGCTTGCAACCGTCCTGGGTTCTGGCTGGGGAGAGGGAGGGCTCCAGGCTGCTGGCCCTGCCAAGTGCCCGGGTGTCCGGGGCTCTGGAGACTGCCCCTCGCCACCTACCCCCACGGCTCACTCGGTCAGCACCTCCACTAGGCAGGCAGCCTGCAAACACCATCTACAGACACCTGGGGGCACACTTTCTGCCCTCGATCTTTCATCTTGGAAGCCAGGCTCTTAGAACTTGAAAATCCTCTTACCCGCAAAGCCGGACGGACTCTTGCGATCACTGCTATCATTGGCTATCACCACTATTCTCTGTGCTGGGAGTTTAAACTTTTTTTTTTAATTCAATTAGCCAAGGTATAGTACATCATTAGTTTTTGATGTAATGTTCGATGATTTAAACTTTTTTTAAGATTTATATATTTATTTGACAAAGAGAGAGACAGTGAGAGAGGGAACACAAGCAGGGGGAGTGTGAGAGGGAGAAGCAGGCTTCCCGCTGAGCAGGGAGCCCGATTCGGGGCCCGATCCCAGGACCCCGGGATCATGACCTGAGCCGAAGGCAGACGCTTAACCAAATGAGCCACCCAGGAGCCCCGAGTTTAAACTTTTTCCATTTAATAAGAGCAGATAGCATTTATTGAGTGCTTACTGCTGGCCAGGCACTGTTCTAGTATTTTCCACCTGTTAGCTTTTTTTTAATCCTCACGATCTCTTATTGTGCTGTTACCGGCCCCCTCTCCTTACAGTGTAACCCATAGTACAGAGAGACGCGTAAGGAACTTGTCCAAGGTCACACAGCTAGCTGCTTGGTGTGGCCCCGGAGCTGAATTCTGGCCACCTGGGCCCCAGGCCCCTAGTTTTAACTGTTTCTTTCCTTTTATTCATAGGTTGGGTTCATTGTGTTTGTTCAATGTGAAGAGAAAGGTACAGGGGTGGGGTGGAAGGTCGTGGAAAATAAACAGAGGTCCGTGCCTCCCAATTTTAGCCCAAGAAGAACAAAGTAGGGGCACTTGGGTGGCTCAGTCTGTTGAGAGGCTGCCTTTGGCTCAGGTTATGATCCCAGGGTCCCGGGATCGAGCCCCACGTCGGGCTCCCTGCTCAGCAGGGAGTCTGCTTTTCCCTCTCCCTCTGCCCTTCCTCCCACTGGTCGTGCTCTCTCTCTTGCTCTCTCGCTCTCGCTCTCTCTCTCAGGTGGGTAAATAAAATCTTAAAAAAAAAATCTGGAATGACACAAGTATGACCTCTACCACCACAAAAAAAAAAAAAACAAAAAACAAAGTGGCACATGGGAAGACGCTCAGGTGTGTTAGTGTCACAACTGTGGTGACATTGTCATGAAATGGTGGAAGGAATCTAAAGGTAGAGGCAGAGGGCTGATCTGATTAATTCAGCCTGAGACTGGCTCTCTGTGGAGAGGCGGAGTGGGGGTGCGATGGTGGTGGAGATGCAGGTGGTCCAACGTGTTGAGTGCATGCTGGGTGCGCCACCTGCCCAGTGCCCGCCTGCCCTGCCCCTAGGATGGCTCAGTCCGTTCCCCTTGGCCCTCGGGGTCTCTCCCCAGGACCCCAGCCCGCGCCCGCACAGCCCCTTACACCCCACCGTCCAGTAGTGCTCAGACTCCCCCTTCCTGACCTGGGGTCTCTCCCTGACAAGGCCCATCTTGTCCCCCAACCCTGGTGTCTCCCCCACCAGCAGAGCCTGCTTATGTCCCATCCTGATGGCTCCCCACGAGAGCTCAGCACCTTTTCCCCCGCTCCTGGGGTCTCTCCCACCCACCCCCTGCAGGGCCTGCCCAGCCCCTTCCTGCGCTGCCCGTCGCAGCGACTCCTGGACCGTGTGGTCCGGCGCTATGCTGAGGTGGCCGACGCCGGCAGCATCTTCATGGACCACTTCACTGACCGCGACAAGCTGCGTCTGCTCTACACCCTGGCTGTCAATGCTCATCCCATCCTCCTGCAGGTATGCAGTGACCCCCGGCCAGGGAGGGGCTTCATGTCGGGCTCCAAGGGGGCCAGCCCTGGGCTGAGCTCTCTTCCCCTTTACCCAGAGCCTTGGGGCCACCACCCGGAGATATGCCCTGCAGCCATACCTGGAAAGGAGAGAAAAACGGAAGTAGGGTAGATGCCCATCAGTAGGGGAATGGTCAAGTAAATGAGGGTGCACTAGAACCCGGGGATACACTGGTCAACGAGGCAGTCATGGTGGCCCCGATTTCCTTGCAGTTTCCAGTCCAGAGGTGGAGACAGACACTTAGCAAGTCAGCAAGCATCCGCAGAGCATGCGGAGCCCAATCATACCGATTTCCCCCAAATCCCAAGGGTCAGGACGCTCACGGTGTGGGCACAAAGGAAACTAGGAAGTGGGAGGAAGGAACGGAAAAAGGAGGAGGGCTAGAGAGAGGAGGGAGAAAGAGGAGGGAGAGGAGGAGCAGAAGGAGGAAGAGGAATGAGGGAAGGAGGAGAGAAAGGAGAGGGAGGGGAAAGAAAAGAGAAGGAAAGGAGAGGGAGAAGGTGCAAGTAGAGAAGGAAGATGCCACAACAAAAACACTTCATGTTTATTATCACATAATATTACATAATTATTAATTTCATCATTTCAATTTAATTTTAAATATAATTGTATACTGTTATTAATTATACATAATCAGTAATCATTGTTACATTGTTACATTACATATTTTAGTCTATATTACCTAATTGATATAAGTATATTTATATATATTTTATTTATTATTTATGATACATCTAATTATATGATGTTTATTATTATATATTATTTGTTATATATAATTATATATATAACCAATATATAATCATTATTATATATAGCATAATATGTAATATATTATATAATACGATATAATATATAAAATGATATATAATAATCATATAAGTTATAATATATATAATATATGATGTATATTCTATAATAATCATATACATTATATATGATTAATATAATATATTATTAATATAATTATATATTATATATAATATTATAATATATATTATATAATGCATAATATATAATAATTATATAATATATTATCATATATAACATATGTGATAATATATTAATAATCTATGTGGTTATTAATAATCTATATGATTATTAATATATTATATAGTTTATATATTATATATAGTTTATATGATTATATATGATATATAATAATAGACAATATAATATATTAATAATCATAATATAATGTGATATAATTAATATATTACTATATAACTTACTGTCTAATGCATATTTATTAATATATGAATAATTAATATATATTGATATATAATCAATGAGGTGCTCTTAGTTATTAAGCACCTACTGTGTACAGGGGTTTGTGTTGAATGGTTTTACATCACAACTCCACAACCCCACTGAAATATTATTATTGTCCCCTTTTCCAGATGAGGTAGGGGGTGCTCAGAGATGTGAGGTGACTTAACCACAGTCACTTAGCTAATGTCAGCAATGGGACCCAAACCCAGAGCTGTCTGACTGCAAGGTCCATATGCTAAAACCTGCCTAGTAACATTGGCATTTTAAATCCTAGAGAAGGAGAAGGAACTGCTGGTTGTCCCTCTCGGGGGTCTCCTTTTCCCAGCATCCTAACCTCAATGGTGGCAGCAGACTCCTGAGAGGCCTGGACCAGGTCCCTCCATCCACCCCTCGCCCCACCTGGGAAGAGCCTGGATCTTGTCACCCTTGTCCAACCCCGGGATGACCCCGCGGCTGCGTAGTTAGACTTCGCCAGGGGGCCCGCGACCTCCCTCCACAGCACTTAGTGGGAGAGGTCCCGGGTGGGCAGGGGAAGCAAGAAAAGGTTCTTCACAACCAGCGGGTGGGTTAAAATGGACAGAAGACTACAGAAAATTGTCCGAGAGGGGGAGAACTTCTTTTTTTTTTTTTAAAGAAGGAAAAGAAGAAAAAAAAAGTGGTATTTACAGTTTCTGTCATTTCTCCCTCGTTTAAAGAAACACCATTCCAGATACAACTGCTTCAATAAATAGTCAAGAAAAGAGCAGCCAGGATTCCCACCTTCCTTTTTCATCTCAGAAATCCACGAATGTGGTGCTCTTACCAGGACACCAAGGAGACCCCCCAGGACTGTATGCTTCCGGAGATCAGTGTTAAGCAGTCAGAAGGTTCCAGTCAGGCGGGGGGCAGGGGCAGGTGCAGCATCTGTGAGTAGGTAGTTACCCCGGCCAGGCAGATTCACCCAGAGCCAGTGCCATGGTTCCCCGGACTCGAGCCACCGAGGGCCACTGTCGTGATTTTTGTTCTTTCCCAGAACGTGTGCCTGCACTGTTATTTTTGAAAATATTTTCCTTTACATCGGCCTGAACTTGACCCTCTTGTTTCACCCCATGGCCTCCTCCTAGACAGGGCTGCCCGTGAAATCCCAAAAATGAGTCGCATTTTTTTTTTTTTTTTTGGATTCTTCAGCTCTTAAAATAAACATAGTCCCCTGAATCTGGAAGCCCATGGAAAATCGGCCCTCGCTTGGGGAACCTGTTGAAATGCATCCGCTGCATGGACATAGGGACTGACTTTTCTGAATGCCTTCATCCATCGACAATGGAACGAAAGGGTGGGGGGGGTCCCTGGTCCAAGAGGTCAGAATAGGCTGAGGGACACACGGCCGAGGCATCCGGAGACGGAGGGGGCCCGGTGAGGCTCATCCCTCTGGAGGCTCCTGGTGAGAGGCGGGGGCGAGTTGTTGTCTCTCATCCTCGAATACCTCCCCCTTCCTGCTCGGCAGATCTTCCCGGGCGCCGAGGGCTGGCCGCTGCCCAAGTACCTGGGCTCCTGCGGCCGACTGGCGGTCAGCACCAGCACCAGCCCGCTGCGGGACTTCTACGGCGCGGCCCCGGACCAGGCGGCCGACCTGGCCTACCAGCTCCTCGGTGTCCTCGAGTCCCTGAGGAGCAATGACTTGAACTACTTCTTCTACTTCACCCACGTCGACGCGGGCACGTTTGGCATCTTTAACAACGGGCATCTGTTCATCCGGGATGCCAGCGCCTTGGGCGTCATCGACAAGCAGGAAGGTACCCAGCATGGGCCTCACTGAGCAGCTGGTAGAGGGGAAGTCAGGGTGACAGGGGCCAGGGAGGGGTGACTGGGGTGGAGGCGGTCGCATCCTGGGGCCGTTCCGGTCTCCGTGTGTCACCGAAAGAGCAGCCCCAGTTCGTAAAATGTCCCTCTTCTCCTTTTGAGTCTGGGCTCCAACTCCCTCTCCAAAGGGGAACCGGACTTGACCTTGTCCATGGGGGCCTTCTGCCCCGCGGCCCCGCCTACATCCTTAGGGCGCTGCTGGTGTCCCAGGCCGTCTGTGTGGCACAGGCCCCACCTCCGGATCCGCCTCCTCGGAGCCTCTCTCTCCGATGCTTCTAGCCTTTATCTGAAACGTCCCTACCTGGCTGATGCCCTGGTCCACGGTGCCATCCGTCTGGGCACCTTTGCTTTTTCTAAACTTTCCAAATGAAAGAGCATGGCATCGAATGTGGTATATGAGTGAATCGGGTTTCTCCCCGCCCGCACAGGCTCAGCGAGCGTTCTAGAACTCTTTGAGCATCCCAGTCCCGAGCGGTGACCACATTTTCTGAGCCCAGTCACAGGACGGAGGCTTTTCTTCTCTGATCTCGGATTTTGCTGATATGAGAAGGCCTCCGAAGACTGACCAGTGAAACCGCACTGACTCATTTCCTGAGTTGCCTTTCTTAAGAAGAATCGAGTCAGAAGAAATGAGGCTGATGGCAGAATATTGGGGCGACGGAAACCACTGTGCTGGGCAGTCCCACTGGCCCCCACTGCATGCATATTCGGCACCACCTGCTCTTTCTGCTCTTTCTCCCAACGTTGTCCTCCACATGGGCGGATGAGACGGGTCCTAGGCATTTCCTGCATTCACTCCTTCCGCAATAATAACGGGAGAATCACAGTGTGGGGGTGAGCCCTACCATTCGAAGCCCAACCTCTGGCGGGGATCAGCGCATTTTCTATGCCGTGGCCTCCTCCTGCCATAGCACAGAGAGTCCCTCCCGTGTTGTCCTCAGCAGGGACCACTGTGCCCCCAAGCTCTAAATCTCCTGGTGACAGGAGATGCTAGGACACTGAACATTCATCCAGCAATTCTAATTAGTGGCGCTCCCCCCCTCCCGCCCCGCTCCACTCCCCTGCAAGGAGCACAGGTCGTAGGGTGTGTAATATTGTGCATCTCTCTTCTAGGCAGCCCGGCAGCCGCTGGGGCAGGAGAGAGTAAAGACATCTTCAGCTGCCTGCTTTCGGGCTGCCAGGCTGAGCTGCCCTCCTGCTACACCATCCCGGAGAAGCAGAGCTTGGTGCTCGTGTGTCGGCAGCTGCTACCTCGACTCCTCCTGGGGAAGTTCCCCTCCCCGGTGCAGGAGGAGATAGACAGGGCACTTGCCCAGTGTGGGGAGGGCGCCCACCCCGACCCCGAAGTGCTCAGGGCCGCCAGCCGGCTGAAGGACATCTTGAGGCCCCTGAGAACCTGTGACCCCAGATTCGCCTACCGCTACCCAGACTGCAAGTATAATGATAAGTTCTGAGCGGCTGGAGCCTTGCCGGCCTCCGGGGACAACGTCCCTGGCCCTCCCTTGCCCAGGCGGGTCGCTGCAAGGTTGAAAGAAGCAGCTCCGTCCTGGGACATTCAGAGAGAGGCACCTTCATTTCCCGGGAATGAAGGAACACTCTGACGACCAGAGGGGAGTCGTGCCGCACAGCACGGTTGCCCCTGCTGGCTACAGCGTCACGGAGAAGCCCCGGGCTGGGTCGGAGAAGACCCGACCGCAGACAGTCACTGGATCTCGCTGAGCCTCAGTGTCCTCTGTTCTCCACCAGACTCTTGAGTTACTGAAAGAAGACAGGGATGTGAAGGGCCAGGGACATGGGCAGGTGGTTACAGAGAGTGTTCCAGAAACACGCGCAGGCAGGACACATGGGACAGAGCCGTGGAGGTGGAGGCTGACATGGAGGGAAGGCAGGGGGAAGGTGAGGCCCCTGGCCAGGACCGTGTCGGGCTCAAACATGAGGGGCCCCCTTCTTGCTCCCTGGGCCCTCGCACTAGCCCTCCCGCCATGCTGCCCACACTGCCACGGAGTGAGGAGACGGCAGGCTAAAGAAACACGTGGATAGGTGCACAGTCTGGGTGCCTGGGGTCCCGGGTGCTCCTGTGAGGCACCTCGTGGCGTGAGAAGGAGCCCCGGCTGAGAACAGATGAGCAGTGGGCGGGGGGCCAATGTGTTCGTCCGGGACCTCTGAGAAGCAGGTGTCAGGACGAGGGTGAATTGGGCAAGGATCGTATTAAAGAAGATCGCTGCATAGGAGGGAAGAAGGCGGTGTTGCCAGTCTGAGCCCAAGGGAGGCAGAGAAGGTCAGCAGAGGCATTCTAAGAGTGGCATTGGTGCTATATCTAAAGGAAGGTTCCACAGGGCCCTGCTGCCCTCAGTCGTTGGCAGGGAAGAGCCTGTGGGAAGCGTGCCCTTGGCCTCCCCGCAGAGACGACGTTGAGAGCGCAGCACAGGGCCGGCGGCCAGCTCTGCTCCCTGGAGCCGGAGGCCCAAGCAGGACACGCCAGCTACAGCCGGGGCCCCAGGCCAGCTCTGTCCTCACCGCGGCCTGCAGTGTAGCAGTCGAAGGAGTCTGAGAATTTTCCTTGAACTCGGCCTTACGGGTCATTGCAACAGTATTTTTCAAGGTCAGCCAACAGAACGTATTCTATTCAACAGTGTGTTAGTTTGCTTTATACCTTTGAAATATTTAGTCACATGGTATGTGGGCCTCCATGTGGATTCTTACCCTGGCCCCTCAAGCCTTAGTGGGGGGCTCTTTGACCCTTTGTCCAGCCTCCCTGTCAGCCCTCTACCCTTAGGGACCTCCCAGTCGGCCTCCTCTCGTCTCCCTCTAAATCACCACCTTTAGGTCAGAATGCCTGACTTAACAGATGGGGAAACTGAGGCCCAGGAGGAAGAGCAACTTGCTGAGATGGTCCATGTTCCTCTTGCCTTCCCCTTCGGCTGCTGATTCGCACCCTGTCCTACCCAGTTTTGGCCCCTTCACTCACATTTAAAGATGGGCCAAGAAATGTCTTATTTCATTGTCCACCAGACTGCTTGCCTTGGGGGGGTTTGCCTTTTGACAGCTCCAGGCACTAACCCCTGGGGCAACCATGATAGCGAGGATGGCAGGCCAAGCTTCTGGAAGGGCAGGCCTGGGCTGCCTGAGAGTGTTGGAGACGGTGGCCTTCTGGCTCGGTCTGGAGGGGAGAGGATTGACCCAACCTGCAATATTCCCCAAGTCCAGTCTACAGTGATGGGTTCAAAGGCCAGGCCCAACCTTGAGGGAATGTGTCGTGTGCATCTGTACCCAGGGCTGAGGTTCAGACGGTTCCATTTCTCCACTTACCAAGTCCCACACATCATGTAAGATCCTGTCTGAGTCCTACCTTGACCCAGAGCTTTTCCTGACAGCCCGGCCCCCAGGGACCCCTTTTTGAATCCCCTCTCTGTACCCCTGAACCATAGGTCTGTGCCCATGTGAAGCTAATCCGAAGGGTATTCCGGAGAGATCTGTGTCCCACCCTCCCATCCGGCTGAGAGCAGCCTCCGGATGGCGGATGGCGGTGGTGAGGGCGCTTTGTGTTCTCCGCAGCAACCCAGCCGGGCACAGAGCAGGTGCTCGAAAAACAGTACACTCTTTAGGCCCTTTTGCTTGGCGTTTGTCACATACTATGTTCTCTAGACTCATGTGTCTCCCCAGAATTCCTCTCTAGAAATCCTAACCCCCAGGGTGATGGTATTAGGTGCTGGGGCCTTGGGGAGGTGATTGGCTCATGAGGGTGGAACTCTCATGGATGGGATCGGTGCCCTTCTAAAAGAGACCCCAGGGAGCCCCCTTGCCCTTCCTGCCACATGAGGACGCAGGAAGGAGATGGCCATCTATGCACCAGCAAGAGGGCTCTCTCCAGACACAGAACCTGCCAGCGCCTTGATCTCAGACTTCCCAGCCCCCCAGAACTGTGAGAAATAAATGTCTGTTGCCTGTCAGCCCCCCCGCCCCCGGGTCTATGGTATTTTGTTAAAGCCACCCAAACAGATGGAGACACGTTGCCGGCCATACGCAGGACAGAGCGGCTTCCCTGAGAGTTTTTAGCTACTGCCTTTTTGGCCTGCAGGACCAGCTCCCTAATTTGCGGGGCCTCATGCAAAATGAAAAAGTGGGGCCTCCTGTTATTAAGACTGGCCAGACAACAGAGCATGAAACCAAGTGCAGGCCCCGTGAGACTGCAGAGCTTGCGTGCCCGTGAAGCTGGCCCTGGGTGCCTGAGAATATGAACTGTTCACCTCGGCAGAGAATGCCCCTGGGGTTCACTGGCATCTCCTTTGACCTCCACCACCAAGGGAACTAGGTGTGGGACCAGAGGCCGTATACGAAATACGGAACAACCACCATGGCAAAGGAACTGAGCTACGAGAATGCATTCCACGTGCCGCAGCCTGATGTGGGCAGAACCACAGCCTGGCGGGCAAGTCCAACTCTTCGAAGGAGGAAACGGGTTCAAGCGATTCATTCCAAGTGACCATTTTTCCAGTCCTCTCCTGTAGCATCTGACTTCTGCCCGCCAGTGATTCCGTGAGCCTGAAAGTTTCCTCTAGGGTTAAAGGATAAAGAGTTTGCTAAATAAATCAATACTTTGCTCGACTTGTATTCTTTTGGGAAAGATCTACAGCCCTGGAATCAGACAGAGCTGGTTTCAAGTAATGATTCGGCTGGTTCCTGTGTAACCTTGGGCAAGTTGTTTAACCTCTCTGAGCCTGCATAAGATGGGGAGGAAAGGCTCTGCCCTCGCAGGGTCACTGTCCTATTTTAATAATACAGTGTCTCTCAAGAGCCTGGCACATAGAGGCATTGTGTATCTGAAGGCAGATGTAGGGCAAGAACAGAGGGTCTCCCAGTACAAAAGGGCTCCTCACAGAGCCAAGGAGAGTGTGGCAGGCTCTGGGAGGCCCCCTGATCCCGGCCCCAAGGCTCTGCTCCAGCGCAGAGGAGCGTAAGGAAGCCAGGATGCCGCGGGCTGGTAGACAGTCTGACTGGGGCCATTGTTACGGCTTCCTGCTAACCAGACTCTGGCTTGATCATGAATGACAGCTGGGCAGCCACTGTCCTCCCCTCCTCAGCCCAGCCCTCCCCCAGGCGCAGAAGGGAATCCTCCTCAAGCAGGTAATGTTGGGGGCCTTGGGAAGTCCATCCGCGCTCAGCACTGAAGAGAAATGCGGAAGCCATCTTGGCCAGTTGAAAGCCTGTGTGCGGAGATGTGGCTTTTCTGCCCACCCCAGGCCTGTTGGCCGCGTATACTGGTGCAGCTGGGCTCACGTGTGCACAGGTATACTCCTGGTCTGTCTGCAGCTCTTCAGGGCACTGTTTAGGAACAGTTGCGGTTGAAAGACATGTGGGAGGGTCAACGCCCAGGCAGGGGGCAGTGAATTTGCAGATATAATGACCCTCCAAAAGGCAACTGAGAGGAACAGGCCAGCAAAGGGGAGCTGGGCAACCAGTTCAAGTGGCCTGCCCCATGTAGCTCTTTGTAGGAGCAGACAAGGAGGGAGAGCAACCCCGTCCCACTAGGGTGTCAGATCCTGCACCAGCCCTTCTTGCAAAAGTCAGCATGTCAAAGTTATTTATTGTGGTGTTGCTTATAATCGAAAACACTGGAAACAACCTAAGTGCCCGTACATGGGAGAGTAGTTGAATAAACCATGATACCTCCACACCACAGAGTGCCATGCAGCTTTGAAAACGAATGCGGATGATCTCTATGAACTGATACGGAAAGATCTGCAAGATACACAGCTAAACAAGAACAACATAAAAGCAAAGCACCAAGAGTATTTAGAGGATGCGAACTTTCATGTAAGAAAGAAAGAGTATAAGCAAACATTTATGTATCTGCTCACTTGTGATACAAATATATATTATATGAAAATATATATTATATATAAGATATTATATAATACATATACACACAGAGATATATATATATAGAGAGAGAGAGAGAAAGAGAGAGAGAATAAACCAGAAGCTAACGAGATTGGTTACCTACAGGGGGTGGTGGGAATGGGGTGGAAAGAAGGGAGGAATGGGAATGGAGGTAGGGACAAAGAGAGAGTCAACCTTCTCTGAGTATAACTTTTTGTATAAATCTGACTCTTAGAACCACGGGAATGCCTCACACAACCCACAAATAAATAATTAAGATCCCCCAGGATGTGGGTTGCACTAAGATGTAATACAAACCATAGCCAGTGGACCTAACTGTGTTACACATGACTAGGATAACAACACGGAAGAACTAGCCTAAGTAACTTGAAAAGTAAGCATTTCGACTACAACAGTATAAGGCTAAAGACAAAAAGAACCGTGCACACAATTTAAAATTGTTCATTTTGTGTTATGTGAATTTCACCTCGATTTAGAAGAAAGAGAAAGGAGACAAAGAACCATGCACAAAAAATTGTGCTCTAGTTAGTAAAATTTTTCCCATGGGGATGTGGGTTAGCTGTTCCAAAATTATTTTAAGTGTTGAGCAGGTAACTAAATATATTGTGGGTAATGAGAGACAGGCTTCTTACCATTGGAGAAAGGAGTTATAAGCAAGGAAGGAGGGAGGGCAAACTTCAACCCTCTAAGGTTGGACTGGAATTGGAAGTATCACTAAAAACACAGGATTTGTGCTGTAGATACATGGATGGATAGATACAGAAATACAGATGTGAGTGTCAGAACTCTATTTCCCAGCTCTGTCTCAGAGAAGACCTATAAGCAGCAACACCCCACTACCTGGTCTTGGTTTCTCCAGTAAAAGAAACCAGAGCTCTTTGGAGAAATGGCTGATTCCAAGACTAGGAAAGCAGAAGATGATTCTGGAATAATCTTATGCTGCCAGAAAGAAAGGAAATGCTCAGAAAATTGGGGGCATGTCAAAAGGACACAGAAGCCAACTTGAAGGGACTCCCAGTTGCCAAATCTGGGACAATCTGAGCTACAAAATAAATAGTGATAGTCAAAGATTATAATCCATAATTAAAGTCAATTCTTAGGAGACCATACTGATATAAATAAATACTTGAATAAGTAAGTAAGGGGGGGAGGCAAGAGCTCTTGGTTAGGGTAGAATTCCAATTCATAAGTGTAGAAGAAATGATGGGAGTGAAAAGTCACCACTTGGCAAACACCACACTAATAATTATTGCAGGCAAGAATCCTCAGTGGGAGCTCAAACCAGATGAAAGTAGGAGACACAGGACATTTGCATCAACTCAAAGTTGTCTTGAGTTGAGTCTACTCATTAAGAATGAAGGGAAGGGGGCGGAGCAAGATGGCGGAGGAGTAGGAGACCTGGATTTCGTCTCCTCTCAGGAATTCAGCTGGATAGGGATCAAACCATTCTGAACACCTACAAACTCAGCAGGAGATCGAAGAAAAGAAGAGCAACAACTCTCTCATCAGAAAAGCGACCACTTTCTGGAAGGTAGGACGTGCGGAGAAGTGAATCTGAGGCGATATTTGGGAGGATAGACGGCGGGGGAGGGGCCTCCGTCGGCCGCTTCTGGCAAGTGATAGAGCCGCGGAGCACAAAATCGGAACTTTTAAAAGTCTGCTCCGCCGAGGGACGTCACTCTGGTGGCTAAGCGGGGGGTGGAACCCTCCGGGACAGTGTGGTCTCAGGACCCTCGGGGTCACAGAAAGACCGGGGGTGCCTGAGTGTGGCAGAGCT